GTGGCATCATTGATGGCGTCAAGTGTGGCAGCGGTGGTGGGGTTGGCCTGGGATTGGACATTGTTTTGTTCTGCTGTGCATGGGGTCGTTATGAGTCGGTTCCGACTCGATGGCACCTGACAACAACAACAAACCTGCTTTGGTTGACATGCAGATAAGGCATTCTCTTTCTGGAACATAAATGAAAAACCCCTAACCAAGCCCACTGCCACTGAGTCTATTCATAGCTACCCTATGTAGGATTTTCAGCTGACCTTGCAGTTAGCAGCCAAATGTATAACCCACTATGCCACAAGTATCTTATGATGCTCCAAAACAAAAAATGAAGCTCATGTCATCCATTAGATTCCAACTAACAGTGACTCTATCCTGTAGGACAGAGAGAACATTGCACCCCCAGGACTCTCCTACGATGCCTACACTTTTTTATAGATTCACTATTTTGTTATTCATGTTTTATGGAAATCAGAAAACTGGACAGCCATCTGAATGGTTGGGTAAAGTTTGCTTCCTTGATAAACAAATATTCCCATTTTAATCACCACTTATCTTTTATTGTCAGAGAATATTGAATATTGAAACATGATGAAGAACACAGGAATATTGTGCCAGAAGATGAATCCCTCAGGATGGCAGACACTCAAAATATGGCTAGGAAAGAGTTGCCTTCTCAAAGTAAAGTTGACTAGATGATGTGAATGGAAGAGTTGCCTTCTCAGAGTAAAGTTGACTAGATGAAGTTTTCAGGCCCTTCATTTGCTGATGAGGCACAGCTCAAAATGAAGAGAAACAGCTGTATACATTCATTAATAATTGGAACATGGAATGTATGAAGTACAAATCTAGGAAAATCAGAAGCTGTCAAAATGAAATGGAAAGCAAAATGATCAATATTCTAGGCATTAGTGAGCTGAACTGGGCTGGTATTGGCCATTTTTAATCCAATAATCATATATATGATTTACTATGCTGCGAGTGACAAATTGAACAGAAATGGCACCAGATTCATTATCAAAAAGAATGTTTCAAGATCTACATTGAAGTATAATGCAGACTGTGATAGGATAATTTCCATATGCCTACAAGTTGTTGTTGTTGTTAAGTGCCATCAAATCGGTACTGACTCATAGCGACCTTATGCACAGCAGAACAAAATACTGCCCGATCCTAGGCCAACCTTACTATTGTTGCCACGCTTGAGTCCATAGATTCTCCCACTTGGCCAATCCATCTCGTTTGGGGTCTTCCTCTTTTTCTCTGACCCTCTACCTTGCCAAGCATGATATCGTCGTCCAGTGACTTGTCCCTCCTGACAATATGTTCGAAGTATGAGAGACGAAGTTTGGCCATCTTGGCCTCCAAGGAGCACTCTGGCTGCACGTCTTCCAAAACGGATCTTTTGTTTTTTTGGCAGCGCATGGCACCTTCAATATTCTCCTCCAACACCATAATTCAAAATCATCAATTCTTCTAAGGTCTTCCTTATTCACTGTTCAGCTTTCACATGCATATGAGGTTATTGAAAATACCATGGCTTGGGTTAGGTGCATCTTAGTCCTCAAGCTGACATCTTTTCTCTTCAACACTTTAAAAAGGTCTTGTACAGCAGATTTGCCTAATGCAATACGTCGTTTCATTGTCTGCCAGTTTGTCATACTGTGGTGGCTTGTGAAGTTGCTGTGATTCTGAAAGCTAGACCTCTGGTATTTTAAATACCAGAAGTGTCACCCATGGTGAACAGGTTTCAGATGAGCTTCCAGACGAAGACATACTAGGAAGAAGGGGTGATGAGCTACTTCTGAATATGTAGTCACTGAAAACCTTATGAATGCCTACAAGTAAGACCAGTTAATACCACTATTATTTAAATTTACACACCAACCATTAAAGCCAATGATGAAGTTGAAGAAATTCTATAAACTTCTTCAGTCTAAAATTGATCAAACATGCAATCAAGATGTATTGATAATTACTGGTGATTAGAATGCAAAGGCTGGAAACAAAGAGGAAGGTTCAATAGTTGGAATATGTGGCCTTGGTGATAGACAGACACAATGCTGGGTATCACATGATAGAACTTTGAAAGACCAATAACTTATTCACTGCAAGTACCTTTCAAAAACAACATAAACATGGACTTCACCAGATGGCCTATCTAGAAATCAAATTGACT